AAATTCTAAGATATAAAAAATTGTAGACTAATAAATAATATTCCATGAATAATTCCAATAAAGTTTTATATCTCAATTCCAAAATCTTGCATGATAAGAAACCATTTTGCCCTAGAGGAATCTCTATTCTCTTTTAATAACCGTTTCCATTAAGTTAGGAAATGAATCGCGATTAGTTCGATCGCGTCCGAGCACGAAATTGAAATTATCACGCCGGACGGATGATTTTTTTTTAATCTAACGCCGGAGCATAGCTCTAATTCCATTATCAGCCGAGCGTTGCTGATTAATATCGGGCCTGACCGAGGTTGCAGGATCGCCGCTAACGAGCAATTATCATAGCGCGGATCCTCGGCCGAGGCTGGATTCGCTGCGGCTAGAGAGGCGATGATTCAAGCCCCTGGCCTCTATCGCATGAATTATTCATTCGGCGTCTAACGGATAGACTTGGCAGCAGAATTCACGCGGCATGCACTTCCCTTCCTTCTGATTGTGCGCCTGGATACAGGTGCAAAACTCCTCTCCTATTTTCATAGCTGATCCTGCCCAAGCTTTGCCAGGATTGGCTAAAAATATGGAAGCGATTTATTGATTGGCTGGAAGGAAACTTTCTATGCATTTATCATAAGAATTATTGATTCGATGCTTTAAATATGAGGTTTCGTGTGATAAAATTCAGGAATAAGGTGAATGTCCCAATTTTTGTTCACATCAATTTCTACTTCTGCTGTGTTCTTTTATAATTTTAGGTTACCTTAAAGGGAGAGAAGTATATATTTTTATTGTAAAATAATTTGTTTTGTTTCTTGTTTTTGGGTCTCTAGGGTAAACTCGTATGACCACCTCTTCTTGTCTGAATTATAGAAAAATGAGTCAGTGAGTAGAACTTATAGGTTATAGGAATATTTGTTAGATCTTTGAATAAATTACCAACCGTGAGTTTTCAATTAAGGAATCATAGTTTTCCTACGTAACGAGAAAGGAAACGGCATAGAAATGTTTACTTTCGATTATGCAACAGCCGTAGCATCCTCGGAGAAAGTAAAGCTAACTAAAATCGCTAACAAACCGAAACTAAAAAGGCGTGAGCAATTATTACCGTACGGTGAGAACGCGTAATTTAGAGAAACAGAAGGCGCGCGGAGAGAAGAGAAGGGAGGGGCGCGGGTGTCGGGAGAGAAGTAGTAGTTGTCGCATAATTAATTTTTATTGACTGCGTTACACAATTCTGAGAGCAACGCCATGTCTAGTTTTCCCATCGCCGGATTCCAGGTGAAAATCTGCACGCGCTCGCGCTCCCTTGCTCGAAAGTGATCATGCGCGTTTTGTTATTCGCCTCGTGATTTCTATTTGAAAATTCGAATCGAGAATCGCGCATCCGACGCCGATTTGGCGACACGTACACCGTCCGGGTGACTATCGGGAATTTTAAAGGAGATCCGACGACATTTGCAAATCAAAATCACCTTCGATTATGCTTTTAACCTTCTCAGAGACATGCTCCGTAGAAACTTGTGCTATAAAATGCTTGTAAAAGTTGTTGGAGAGATTCTGTCAGCTTCTGAATTAAAAAATCGATTGTTGTTTGCTAAAATTGGTAGACCGCAGATTTTTGTATTTATGATATCAATTTAGGAAATTATAGAATAGGTAGAAATTGATTTTATTTAAAAATGGAATATGCATTTCACTTTTGAGTCTGTTTATGTTGTAGTAGTAGTAGTATTTAATTTATTGACTAGGACTTCCATACAATCTTGTATAATGATCATAGTGTACAAAATTATAAACTAAAAACTATAAATGTATTGCAACTACCATTTCTGATTCTTATAAGTATGATACTAATAAATAGAATCTCTATAATTCAAGAAATATAAAAAGTATAAAAACCAATTGTTAAAAAATGATAGAATAGATATTTAAGAATAGAATTCCCCTTTTTAT